TGCCGTTATTTAAACCCAACCACAATTCAGGTGGTTACCTATTCAAACCAGCTTCACAAAATAAATCCCAGACAGCTAGAAACAAACAGCAGCTTGCAATGGGAGGAGGGAGGAAGGCTTGTGCTGCTTTCTTTGTGTTTTGCAACATACTCCAGCACGGCAGGGTATGCCAATAATATTTCAGACTCTGCATGGAGCCTTTGTCTATACGTTCCTAACCACACCAAGCAGTTGGGAGTTTCCAGCAGTCTGGTTCGGTCGCACACTTGACACCTAGGTGATGTTGCAGTGCCACCTTGCGACTGAGCACCACCACTCTAAATGAACAATATCCCATCTATGTCTACAGGCAAGCTTTGGGCTTGTAATATTTGACGTTACCATTCCTCGAGGGTTTCTCCCACAATTCCCGTCTTTTGAAGTGTTACAACAGTCTAAAAACCTCCCAAAAACATTGTCTGAGGTGCAGGACGAAAAGATCTCACCAGACGAAAGGATGCCAACTGGATCTCAATAAAGGGACTCCGATTCCTTTCCCCGAAGTCTGAAACAAACAGAATCAGTTAGCACATTTTGAGCCGTTTCACCAAGCAACAGGGAAAGCCAAATTGCAATCAAGGGGGTTTTTTTGTGTCTCAAGTAATTAAAAAACAAGCTGTTCAAAAATAAACCAATAAAGGATTGTTGGCAGGGAGTAAAGGGCCAAGATTCTGACACCATGTATTTTTTGAGACTGAAAAATAGCCCGGTCCTTTCAGTTTACCAACTACGTCATAAAATTTCTCCCAACTCAAGGTCAACATGCATGCTAAATATGCAGTTGCATAGCAGGTAAGGGTAGCTCAGTGTGGAAATGTAACTTATTCTGGGTCCAGTCCAACTCCATTTGAGGCTTTTATATTAATTTCATTGAAGCACTAAACAAATTGGAAGGGTATCACAATAGAGGGGAGAGAAGGAAATGTCCTGCCTAAATCCACATATTTGCTCATTAAACCATGATATTGCCAAATAAATCAGCTTCAATCACCTAAAGATCACACATTTTAAAAAATGCTTTGAAAATTCTGTAGCAAATAGGACATTTTAGCATCTAGTGCATGGCTTTTATTTTTTTTGGTATTCTGCCTTTCCCCTACAAATTGCTTTGTTATAGAAAGGTTACACCTAGATGCCAACAGGCGAAAGCAATTCAAAGGGGTAAAAGGCTACCTCCTGCCCCCTGAAACGGATAGATTTCCCAGTGTGACTGAATTAAACCTAAGTTTTTAAGTTGCTGAGGTTTTCCTTGGAAAAAGAAATAGCTCATAGCATGCTGGTTCCTTAACCTTTGGGGTTTCCTCCTCTATGCACCAAGTCAAGGTGAGAACTAGCCTTTCACATCTCCACCTTCTCTCTCCTGGGCCTTCTGGGTATGTGAAGTTTCCTGTATAATGTACTAGCTGGCATGGTTCACCAGTGCTGCCTACTGGCAAACCTTACAAGCCCTCATGGAAAAAAGAGTATTTCCTCTTATAGATTTGGCTGTGGAAGGGGCCTGTGGTTGTGATGAAGAACGAGAGGTCTATCTTTTTAAAGCCATGACTTTTACATGGGTAGTTACCGGAGTATACTCATTTCATTATAGAAGTTTATGCAAAAGGGCCACTCTTCTCTTAATAGTACACAGATGCACTATTTTACCTATGTCACCAATACAGAAAAGAAAGGAAAAAAAAGTAGGTTATGGACCCTTGTTTGGGGCAATTTAAAACAATGATGGGTGCATCTAACTTTCTAAATAGTCAGGTTCAAAAGAGATCCCCTACTAAGGGTTCAATACTACACAGCTATACTGCTCTGCAGTCTTTCCAAGCCTAGTTTGGATCCAGGCGAAAATAAGAAATGCAGATATCCTGATTATGAAGAAAATACTATTATATAATGGAAACTAGGGCACATGACTTGCATGGCGGTCCACTCAATTCACTAGAGTAACAGAAAGAAGCCTCTGAATCTATTATTAGAAAAATGACAAATTCTAAAAACAGTAAAATGAAGATGAGCAAGTAAATGACAGGATACCATTATCCTATTTTACACTATGCCAAGTCCATCAGTTGAAATATCCATCCGCTTTTGGTTCAGAAGAGAATATCAGAATTATGATGTGTTTATCCGAGTGTAACAGTGATCAGGGGCTACCGAATTCAGAGTCTTAAACCTTTGCCTCTCCCCGCCTCAAAGGAAGTCAAATCAGGACGCACTCTTATTTATGAGGACAGTTGATGAAGGTTTCTACTCGCTTCTCAGACCAAAAGGACAGAGGTATATTTGGTTGGGTGCTGCACTCCAATCACAGCAACAGCTATGCTGCAGTGATGAAATGACATTGATGGATTAGTTCGTAGCAGAGCCAAGACCCCTTCAGGCAAAATGGGTCTCAAGTTATTTTCCAGACTTGGAGCGTGCACTTTTTTTTTTTTTTACCAGTCTAAGGACTTACCTGAAAGAGAAGCAGAGCTGAAATGCTATTTCTCCATTGCCTAGTGTAAGTGAGACTTCTTTCCTTGCACACCTTGTACAAGGCCAATTGCACTGGGGGCACTCAAAAGCTGGAGCTGCCATTGCTGGCTTGTGCAATTGGTATTTAAGAACTGATTAACTGCATCTAATGGAGGAAGGAGAGTAATAACAAATGAACCATTTGAGAGCCCAACTATGCCCATGACTTGACAGAAGGTAAGTCATTCAGCTACAGTAGCTGCTAAGCATTTTGAATTCTGTTTTCTGGTAGTGTACCTCAACAGCCTGTATGGAAACAATCTCCATTTTAAAGTCTCGCCGTATCATTTTAAAATTCTTTGCTTCTTGAAAAGTAGCCATTTAAAAGAAACTAGGCTTTGATGCTATATTCGGATTGGAGCCGTTATTGTCACTACCTATTTCTTCAGTAACACTGGGCTCGTCTCTGTACATTCTGTCCCTCCCACCGTTCCAGCTTAGGACTTCTCCCAAAATTCCCTTTCCCAGAAACTGATCTCATAGAAAATATGCATTCTACCACGAGTTTTATTTTTCCTTTTATTATGAATGGATAACTTTACAATGCAGTCATTTCTACTCCTCAAAACATGCTTAAAGTGACGTCAACTGGAGATCAGGGGAAAACATTAACTACATACAGATCCAAAAACCGTCATTCAAAAAAGAAAAAATTGTATTTTTTAGAAGGCTACAGTCAAGATGCGACGTTCCAAGCGAGTGGTAAATCCAACCCACCAGCTGCACGTGACAGTCTTACTCTATGAAAATGCAACACGGAAGTGAAGGGCAAAGATACCAGCATAACACACTAAAGGACAGCTTTCATTTTTATTGTCATAGAGATAACATACTGCCTCGGGGCGTGATATCACATTTTTGCATGGCAAAATTTATTTCATCTACTGACTTTGGTAACAAAATCAAAGATCAGAAACTGCATATTGTAATAAATGTTGTTTAATAAACCTACACTGCGAGGGATAAGTACTCTGCTACCAAAGGCATAACAGCAAAGGACATGTATAAAAAGATGGGGAGGGGGACAAGGAGGGGGCAGCAAGTCAGCTTCAGCTCCTATTTTTTCCCAAATAGCACCTGAAATCACCACCAACTCATTCTCAGTCTCCAGGATGTCAAAGAGAAAAATCACTGGTGGAAGACAAGCTCCGTTTCAAAAAGCAAAACAAAAAAAAACCCCTCTAAATCATCAAAAAATGCAGCATATTCAGGGTTCGGTAACTAGTATCAATTTTGCACTCCCAATTGAGGCACTTTTTTTTTTCCTTTTAAGATACTCTGCCTTCAGATCACGCAATAAAAGTACTGTTTTGTTTTGTTTTTTTGAAAAGCAACATCCTCTTGATTTTATTAATCCTTTCACCTCAATTAGATGTATTCACAGATGGCTCACAAGTACGACAGCCACGTTTTTCTAGCCTTGGTCTTCATTCCTGAGGCCCAACAAGGTTCCATGAGAGAAGAAAAATATCCCATTCTGCATAGCAGGCTCCTTACACGTCTGCCTGTAGTGAATGACAATAGTAGCAACGGCAGCATACTAAGAATGTCTCAAGCGGGGTTTGGTGATATTAAGATTTAAAGAGGCAGCTCAACCATTGCTACAGACCTGTATGCTTTGAGGGGAGAGAAAAAAAAAACCCACAAAAAAAAAAAAAAAAACCCAGCCCGTAAAACAATCTTAAAATCTCCATCACTGCAGAAAAGACATAACACGTTTCCAAGACTGACAGAACAAAATCATTTGTAGACACAGGTACAACTGGCGCTTCTCTTAACAGGAGCAGTTTAAGCACATACAAGAGGCAAATTAAAAACCAATTATAAATAAAAGTTTGATCAAAAACAAAATTCAATTTTTTTCCAAAAAGTTTATAAATACATGTCTTAAAACAATACCTTCCCACACTCCCTCCCCCCCGCCCCAACTCACATTAAGGTCTGCTTTAAGATTCCTTTAGTATGGAGCTATTTGTGTTAGTTCTGCTAATCCATACCTAGTCCAGAAAACTGATCACAGCACATATATACTGATTATCTATGCTACATGGCTCATGGGTTTACCATTATTTCCGCCCCCCCCTAATTCAATGGTTATTTCAAAGTACCAAGCAGAAGCAGAGACCAAACATCAATAACCAGTAAAGGAAAATAAAACAGCCCAGAAAAAAAAACCAAAAAAAAAAACCACATTCTTAAATACATGAGGTAACATTTATTGGGCTCTTTAGAAAATTTAACAAAAAAATGCAGTTCCGTGCAGAGATTTTTACCCTGCCAACACCTATTACAGTCTTTATGATATCATAACAACGAGCAAGTATTTCATTTGCTTGGTGGCCACTGCCAATTCTCAAAGGCACAGGAAGTTTGTCTCTGTGATAAGTCAAAGCTTTAGGATTAAGTCATAAGGGAAAGA